ACAGGAGTGCAGAGAAGTTCGCATTTTTCCTCTTTGGTTTTTAGACTCAGTTTTACGTGCCCAATGAAAAAAACATAGTTTTGAAATACAGAAACGAAAAGAGTAAACATTTCGTTATTTTTTGAAAGTTTCGAAGTATCGTCGATGATTGCCAAAATGTATTCGGAATGAAATAGCTGTATTACATAATCTGCTGAATCGATACTATCGTCGTCACTGTATTGAACGTTATAAACAGTATATTGTACAGCGGCAATTCGTCAATTTTTGGATCAAAGAACATCGCGCGCAACAGTGGGAAGGTTGTGTAAAAACCTGTTCGGCTGGTGATAGTTCTTATTTTTGGTGCTATACAGCGAAACACTTCCAGTCCACAACATCCCCCTTCAAAGGGTTACAAGCCAATAACATAACCGATGCGAACTCAATCACTGTTGTCGAACAATTGTACCAGCACTACAGCGAACACTTTCGTTTTCCATCGGAAACTCTATCACCAATAGCAGAAAGTACAATTGAGGAAGAATACGAAAGAGTTAGAACCCTGTATGAACACCACAGTTTACTCGAACTTTGAGTATTATTAATACGTTCTATATACTCCTTTTTGGATTGTGCGCAGAGTTCGTTAAACTGCGCAGCTAATAAATTGTAATTTTGATGACTATGAGTTGACTTAATTTTAACATATTTACGGTATGCTCTATTTCTTTTTCTCAGTAATGTGCGTAATTTATCTGTGGACCATGGTTGATCTCCATTCCGAATTCTTATTACCTTATGAGGGATAGCTACATCAGTAGCTTGAATAATTGCATTTTGCAGCGCATCAACTTGATCAGTTATATCATATTTAGAATCAAAGATATACTGTATAGAAGATAGTATATTAAATAATAAGTAACGAAAATGATTCCAGTCTACGCACTTGTAATTATATATTTTACGTGTAAACGACGACTTTTTGTCTGATTGGCAATTTATAGTGAACTTAACTATTGCATGATCGCATTTCTCACATAAAAAATCATCAACTCCTGCAGCGCTAATTAATTGAATGTTATCGGTGTAAACTAAATCTAAGCAAGTGTTAGGCTTAACAAGCCTACTAGGACGTCTAGTTGGTTCTCTAATTAGTTGATGTAAATTATTGTGATGCGCAAAAGAGAATAAAGCGTCTCCTTCTCTAGTTGAGTTTTTGGTTTTACACCATTTTACACAATGTTCATTAAACTCTCCTATCAAAACTACTCTTTGGTATGTGTGTTTCCCCCTATGTTCCCCCCCATTCCATCCTTTTTTTTCATTGTGTACGCACGTATGTATCTGTACTGCTGACCGGTTAATAACTACTCGAACTGCATATTTGTGTGAATATTATTTAATGGCGACTAGTAAAAAAACTATGGAACAATCACCACCATCGACGAATCCCACTCCTAAACGGTTATGTGGTGGCATTGATTTAAAACAAGCGTTTGTCCAGACGTTGTTGAATGATGAATCATTGCAGTCAGCTGTTGCTGATGTCGTTCAGAAAAACGATAACTCAATTACAGTAGCTGCTGAGAAAATCGTTGATGTTATGTTTGACACCCCCTTAAAACACTTATGCGATCAGATTGAATTGTTAGAAAGTCGTACTATTAAACTCGAACAAAAAACATTTGATTTGGAGCGGTACAATCGATCATTTAACTTGCGGTTTTATGGGTTTGAAGAGAGAAGAACAAATGGTAACATAGAGAAACGTGTGTCCGAATTTTTAACAAAAAATCTTGAAATTAAAATTCATCATCCAGTTATTGAAAATTGTCATCGGGTTGGTGTTAAACGTACTGGTAAATCCCGTCCTATCATCGTTCGTTTCCATTCGCGCCCTTTTCGTCAATTGATTTTGACATCCTTAACTAAATTGAAAGGCCAAATTAGATGTGCTTTTGGAGTCCGGCGTTCTCGGGCGATGCGACTATACTGAGGTGGTCTCATGTACGAGTGAACGATGAAGTATTGAAGAGCTGTTACACATTGAATTTGAAAGTAAAGTATATAT